CCTCCCATTTCACATCACCCCTTGCTCCCAGCCTCCCCTGCTAGTCTGAGTTTACCCCACAGTTACTCCAAGTCCTTCTAGGCCACTCTGGCTGTGAAATGGGTGTTATTGTGGGCACCTAGGCTCCTGGGTATCTCCCCTGTCCCGGACAGACCAGTCCTGCTGGTGTGGAGCTGGAGTAAGGGCCCCTCACCAATGTTCCCTCCAATGTTGTCCAGCCGTGTGCAGACTGCCCTGCGCACTGAGGCATGTGTGGATGGGTAGCACCACCAATAGAAACACATGCTGCTGTCTGTGCGTGCTCTGCTAATCAGCTGGTTGGCATTTGAATCTCTCCTGGGTGCTCACCCAAAGGCTCAGCTTACAAGGAACCCTGCGCAACAGCCTCTTCCCAGCCCCCAAAGTAGGGGCAGATCAGGGAGTGTGGCCAGAGCACAGTGCACCATGGGAATTCTCTGCTGCCCAGGGCCCATATGGGAGCAATGGATTAGGCAGAGCAGACACAAGGCTCCTCTGACTACCCCCCTGGAGCCAGGCAGGGCCCAGCCCCAGATTGCAGGGAGCACAAAGGGGATTCAGGGGGAAAGTACAAATTGGAGATGTAAGAGTTTAATTGGTAAACTGATCAGCAAAAGCTTATAGGTTAGTGCTCTAGACTACGTGCATTTCCCCACTTCCCTCTGCCAGTACATCTTTTAGCAGATGCCCAGCAACCTGGTTCAGTCCTGGTTCATGCCGGGTCCGGGACCTATCCTCATTGCGATTCTGCATTTAAAGAGTATTAGAAGCTGGGTTTGCAGGCAGCTTGCACCAGATCCAGGAGCTCAGACTCCTGCCATGCCCCCAACCCCTGGACAGGGGCTGCTGCCATCCCAAGAGGAGAGCTTGTTTTTAAACTGGTTCCCCTTGCAGACCTGCTCCCGCCTGGCACCTCTGCTGCTGCCTCTGATACAGAGGCAGCAGCGTGGGTTGGCAAGAGGCTCCCAGGGAGCCGGTACTCACAGGGAGGCGGGGTTTAATCTGACACTATGTGCACACTG